TTTAACTTCATTAATCTAGACTCACCTTTTCAGAAGTACAGGACTGTCCCCGTATCTCAGATCAAGTGCTGCAAAGAAAAAAGCTCATCAAAAAAAAAAAAAAAAAAAAAAATGAACGGAGGTGTAAAGAAGTAGACAGGATGTGGGGAGTGCCGACAGCCCCTCCCACTTGACTTGCCTGGGCCCGGAAAGCCCTGTTGGCTTTGTGCGCTGCTTGGGGCTGCCTGTTCACTGGCAGACAGAAATAAGGACTCCTCCCCTGGAGGCCAGACTCCTTCCTTGGAGCCACAGTTGCTCCTGGATTTTGGATGCCTCTCCCAAGGACACAGGAGGTTCCAGCCCCTTGAGGATGCTCCAGGGTTCAGCACAGACTAGGCCTGGGCACTAGACCCCAAAGTGCCTTGGGCCTGCTCTACCCCTGCTTCTGTTCTTTTGCTTGAGCTTCAGTTTTCCCCTGTTGTCTGTGTTGGCATTTTAACTCCACTGAACTGAAAGTAGGAAAGTCCTGTTGAACCCTGTTTGAGCAAAAGGGAGGATGAGGGGGCAGAGGAGGAAGGCAAGAAGAGAGGAGAGGGGAGGAGAGAGGAAAACTGACAGAGAGGGAGGAGGAGGAAGCAAAGGAGGCAGAAGGAAAGACAGATTTTGGACTTCCAGATCAGTGCCAGTCCCTGTAGGAGAGGAGGATGAGGAGGGGTTGTAACCACAGACTGTGTGCTCCCAAAGGGCCGCCATCGATGGCCTCCACTTTGGCTTTCACTTATCTGTGCATCTGTTCCCCTTTGTGCAAGATTCAGAAATACTTGCTCCAAAGAAACAATAAAATCATTCATGTTTATAAGAACTGCACAGGGGAAAGTTATTTACTGATAGTGCGTGTTTACTATTGATAGGTTGACCTCTGGCCTAAAATTTGTTCAGGTTTCCCACGCAGAGTAGCAAATCGTCATATGTTTCTGTGAAATAATCATTCCCTGGGTGTCCTGGCCTTCGTTTTCATTTAGGTGAAGGTATGCAAACATAAGCCACTAATTCACTTTGGAAATGAACTCTTCTTCTTACTGATTGTAAGTTCTTTATAGGTGAGACTGTATCGTATCTGAATTCCATTTTCAACTTGACACTGGGCATTGCTTCAGTGTGGGAGAATAGAGCCCAGAAAGTGCTGGCTGGAAGTAAACAGAGTATCTGGGTGACACATGTGGTTTCAAGGGAGGGATGTTGCCTTGTGCCCCTGTGGAGACCCTCGGGGCTGCCTTTTCAAACTCTCTTTTGATGGGCCACATGAAAACCTTGATTGAAGACACTATGTTCTGAGGAATATTTATGGTTTCTAATGTATATCCTTCAGAAAAAAAAAAAAACACAAACTCTGTTTTGGAGGGTCTGTGTTTCTTCAGTTTCCCATTCCTTCAACCTTTACCTAAAAGCAAAACCACTTTTACCAAAAGAAAAGTCACTAGTTTTTCATCCCAAAAGATGCAAATTTGGAGTTTGGGGAAGTATGAGAGAGCTTGTCAAGTACTGCTGTATGATGTCGGATAAGACCAAGCACAGACTCATATGGACTGGAGATATGGGCCTGTTTCCGAATTAGTTTAAACATACGAAGATGGGTGTCAGAGCAAGCGGGAGGGGCCCAGAGGTTTACTGGCTTGATGCAGAACAGCCACCCTGATGTCAGAGTAAGTTGGTGTGTGGGAAAATGAGTGAGGCTGGCTGCCTAACAGAAGCTGCTTGCTGTGGTGGGGGGGAAGTGGTTACAGACTAATGCAAACGGACACAAGCCTGTTTACCCCAATCCAGAGTTCTCAGCACGGTGTGGTCAGCTCCATAAGAAACCCTCTGCCTTAAGCCCACCAGTGAGTGGCGAAGCAGGGCCAGTTCCAGGAAAGTGTCCTCCCTGGCCGCATCTGCAAAAACATGTGTGCCACTTAAGCCCCAGTGCCAAGGCCCCTTCTCCAGCAGGCATAGGTGGGGTCTAGATCCTGGACCTTAGGAAAAAACTTTTTCCTTTATTTGGAAATAACAAGTACACAATAAGATATTGGTTATATCAATTCCTATAATAGAGTAGGACATAATTATGTTCTACTCATGATGTCTATTTGTAAAATAAAAAGGTGGTGTGATATTAAATGAAAAAATATTTTATGACAACATATGTGGAATGTGCTTAGTATTTTCTTTTTTATGAAAAGCTCTTTGTGCTATGCACACACATGCAAAACATACACACCCAAATTTTAGTAGTATTGAATGGTAGAAGTCATGGTTGCTTTTATAAAATAATTGTAAAGTATATATCACTTGCTTACAAAAAAGTTCACCAGTCAACTCTAAACACTTTTGTGTTAAAGTAGTATTTGGTGGCCCAAGATTGGAGTATAAAATTTCTTATCAATGAATACAGGAACATTTGAAACCTGGTTTGGGACCAACTATAATAAATTGTGAGAATCACTCACCTTCAGAAAACAGAATCACATATTAATGTTGTACA